AGTCTCTAATCCATCTTGAATTAATTTTCATATAAGGAATAAGGAAAGGATCCAGTTTCAGCTTTCTACTTATGGCCAAAATGTACATTCTTTGTTGGTTTCTTTAATTGAAATATTCTTACTGGAACCTCATTAATGAAGGAGAGCTTCATGGGATACACAATTTTTGGCTGATTTTTAATTTTTTTTTTTTTTTTTTTTTTTGCCTTTTAATGAGGAGGTTCTCTTGTCTTCTAATTTCTACTCTACCTGTTAAAAAATTCAGCCATCAATTCTTATAGTTGTGCCATTGTACATAAGGATCCATACTTTCTTTTAATTTTTCTGACTTCTTTTTCTGTTATACATGGCTCTCTTCTCTCCAGGACTATGCCCTGCAACTCTCAGCTACCTCAGCATTCCCCAACTCCTCTATTCATTTGAGGGCTCCTACCTCCCTGACTGTTCAGGAAAAGGACTTGCAGGAAAAAAAAGAAAAACAACTGAGGAAAATACTACGCACTTCCTTTCCTATGTTTTCTTTCTTTCACAATCCTGTGCTGCCTGTATCCAATGCCTGAAGTTCATTGCTCGTATATATATTATTTAGTTTTATAATTGTGAGTAAAGTAGGGTAACTCCAATACCAATTATTCTTTTGTGCATACGAAAATCACACTTTAATGGGGAAATATATAGTAAACACGATAATTACTTTTAAAACTTCTATGTTAGGTACTAAAGATTAAGAAGAAAATAAAGCAGAAGCATGGATAAGGAAGGTTGTATAGGTATGGTGGGGGAGCAAAGAACATGGTAAAAGAAGCATTTGATATTCTTGAAAAATCATGCAATGTAAGTTCCACTGTGAAAACGTTCTTAGAAGAAAGTTAAGAGAGTGAGCCATGCAGATATTGGCAGGAAGGGCCTTCTAAGACAGAGTAGTAGCCAGTACAAAAGGTATGTGGCAGGAATACATATAGCATGTTGGTAGGAAAGTGAGGTGGCCAGTGAGACCAGACCTAAATGAAAGAGAGTGTTAGGAAATGAATTTACAGGTATAAGTGAAGATCAGATTGGGTAACATTTCCATCACTTGCAAGAATCCGTTGCTTTCTTAGAGCATAATAGGAAGCCAGCAGAGGGCCTTGAGTACAGATATTTTACTATGTCTGGCTTTCATGTGACACAAAAAGTCCTTGAGAACCAGATTTAGGATTCTGAAACAAACTTGAATCCTGTGAATGTGGTGGAGTTGCAAAGCTTTTGTGTTTGGAGGAAACTTACCTGACTGGCTGTATACCACAAGGTTGTCTTGAGGTAATACGCCTGGCTGATCTCGGAGCAGTTTGGGCCTGCCTCTGGACATCTCTGGATCTCAATCAAGGAATATTCTGTGCAATCATTGGCCAGCTGCCGAAGCTAAATTGTGCCAGTTAACTTTTGCTTTAGTAAAATAACTTCTACATTCTCAGGTATGAGAACATTTTCCATAGGGGGGATTCTATGGTTATTTCGTTTTTTAATTTAAAGGACAGTGAGTGTGCTGGGATCTTGAGTGAAGAGTTTATTCACAAGTCACTCAATGAAAGTACATCAGTTTGAGGGGCCGGGCGCGGTGGCTCAAGCCTGTAATCCTAGCACTTTGGGAGGCCGAGACGGGCGAATCACGAGGTCAGGAGATCGAGACCATCCTGGCTAACACGGTGAAACCCCGTCTCTACTAAAAATACAAAAAAAAAAAAAAAAAAAAAAAAAACTGGCCGGGCCAGGTGGCGGGCGCCTGTAGTCCCAGCTACTCCGGAGGCTGAGGCAGGAGAATGGCGTAAACCCGGGAGGCGGAGCTTGCAGTGAGCTGAGGATCCGGCCACTGCACTCCAGCCCGGGCTACAGAGCAAGACTCCGTCTCAAAAAAAAAAAAAAAAAGAAACTACATCAGTTTGATTGCTTGGATTATAAAGTACACCTGTATTCCAAGTGGCTTAAACAGTAAAGGGGAATCACTGGCTCATGTAACTTGAAGGTCCAACGGTTCAGTAATGTCATCAAGAACTCAATTTCTTTCAGATTCTCTGTTGTGCCATAAAAAAATCTGGCTTCACTCTACCTCTGGCTACCCTGTAAGTCCTAATGTGGCTGCCAGCAGTTGGGCAACATGGTACATTCCCATCCAACAGCACATAGGACATCAAATATATATCTGACTTTCCTACTAATTGAAACACTGAACAGGTCCCTGTGTTCAGGGGAGTGTCATGTTATGACTGGTCGAGACTTGAGCTACATGAAATATTGTGGAAAGAGGGATGGGATAGCCCTGATTGATTTAAACAACAGGGAGCCTACTTATTGTGACAGAAGTGAAACTAATATCACCCTAATCAAAGCAGATACAGATGGGAAAGAATAGAATGGGTGCTGAGAAGATGACAAAAATAAAGAAATAGAATTCACCAGTGCCAAGATGTCTTCATTCAGTCTATTCATATCTAGAAAGCAGACTCAATAGACTCCAGGTTTCATCCTCACAAGTGGAAGAGAGGTTGAAGATCACTAGCATTTGAGTCCCCCTTGGAATGAACGGGCTCTACCCCTGTTGTGGAACTGTCAGTTATGATGATATAGGATTGAGCTATATTAGTATAGAGTAGAGATAAAGTAAAACAGAATATTTTAGAGATGCTAAAAATTCTGATTATGACCACAGAACAGAAAAACAGGTTTCAACAGGTGAATTTTCAAAGCAGTTTGGAAAAGAAGGAAACCTCTGTTAATCACTGGGTATCTCTGATTGCTTTTGAAGACCCCCCATTTTAAAAACATTAATATTCATCCAAGTATATGAGAGCACCATTGTTAAGTTGTAGCTTAGGATTTTTCTTTTGGAGATAGAAGTATATCTTGCAAGTCTGATTACAGTTGGCTGCAAAATTTGCTTAAGCACAAAGAGTATGAACATATCAATAATATTTTGTAACAATAAAAAGAAAAACAGCAATGGTAAATGCTCACATTTAATCGAGTATTACTGTGTAGTAGCAAGGAAATTTACATGTGTTTACATATTTGATCCCCATAATTCTATGAAGCAACTGAGATAGACAGAACTTAAACACCTTACTTTTTGTAGTAATTTTGTAGATTTTGTAGGATTGGCACAAAATATTGGAGGCTGAACACAGTTAATTAACACAGATCACATGTACTGGGGTTCTGGAAAAGATCCGTATATTGAGTTTATTTCACAGGAATCTAGGTGCCAAGCTATAATAGCATAATTTTATACTGTCTTCAGAGATATCTTCCCAAATTTACAAATGAGTTGTACATTTACTGAAACCAAAAGAATGGGAAGAAAATGTAAAATAAGCTAGAATGGGGTGGGAGTAGAATAAGAAGCAAGTTCAGGAAGCTGAAAAAAGATATTAAAATAATCACCAAAAGAAGGATATAGGCTTGAATAAGATATAGAGCTGAGTACAGAGTCAGAAGAAGAGAAAGAACCATGGGAAAGAGCATAAAATGTTAGGTCAAACTTGCATGTGGATAGACATTCTTGAAGTACTAAAAAGAAAGGAAGGCTGACCTTTGCGACTTTAATTGTTCTATGTATTCATAATGGAACATCCATTTAAGAATACAGATAATAAGTAGGCAACTTCAATAACTCAAAACAATAGTTATCTTTTCTATGGATTTTTCCAAACCAACAATATGTAAGTAACAATTTATTCTTTGCTTCCTTTACTTTATTTTCCTCCCACCCATTAAGTTTCCAGTTCTGCACTGATGTTCTATTACTGCTTACTCCTTCAATCAAAAACTCCTGGGTGTTTAGAATGTATTCAGTCTTGTGCTTAGACTCTGGTTCTAGAGATGACAAAAATGCAATTCCTCCGCTATTTAAGCTAACAGTCCTTTAAAGGAGACAAGTATGTTAATCATGAGATCACAATTTAATGAGTGCCATGAATGTAACACAGGAACGGATTCCTGATGTACTGACTGGAAATATTTGATAAATAAGTATTTAAAATTAACATGAGATGAGATTAAAAAGAGCATCTGCTCAGAAATCAGTTATCCATAAAAAAGAAAGAAAGAAAGAAAAAGATTGGCAAGAAAGGAACCCAGCAAAGCAGAGCCGTCTCAAGAATAACTGAATGCAGACATAAACAACCAGAGAGCCTGAACCAGTTTTCTTATCATTGCCACAAAAAGAGAATAATAACAATAAAGACAAATGGCAGGGTCACCAACTCAGATATGAAAATTGCCAATAAAAACCAATATATCAGACATATTAGAAAAGAAACTTTGCTTTGAGAATGAATCATAGACCCTTGTGATCACTGAAGCCTGTAATATAGCTCTAGAATATTTCAGCTACTTATTATTCCATCCTATCAGATTTAGAAAAACGACAGACTGAATGCTCAGCCTGTCTAAGCTATTTCAGAAATTAATTCCAAATATTAAACCAAATAGAACTGCTGCAAAATATAAGGAACATACAAGCTTGCTAAGCCTGAATGGTGATAATAAAACTTGCATGGGTGCTACAGTGTTCTAATCAATGTCTAATTGACACACTAATTAAAAAAATTCTGTCATATAATTTTTCTATAGCTCAAAAGCCTACTAAAATCTGTGAATTTATTTTTGAGCCAGAGTTTATAGTCAGACATTTGTTATAGGTCAAAAAGTTCAACAGCTACTTTAAAAATACATTTATATTTTAGATAGGTTCTCATTGACTGGTAGTCAGCCAACTGCCAAACTTTTAGGTATTATTTTTCTAAAATAAGTCCATATTAATTCTCAAATAACATAGCACAGCTACTTGACCAATATAGTAGGCATCAAAATAATGAAGGATATGGATACTTTATCAAGTAAATTAAAGAAAAATACTAAGCCTTATTGTATCTTGAATAAGTGATAAGCAATGTTATTCTGAGATTTTAAAAACTGTAGAGAGATACATGCACACACGTATGTATAAATAAATATATACTCACACAATTTTTTTCTTGGAAAGCAGGTCTTCTCCAATTGTAAACCCAGTATATTGAAGCAAATCATAAATCAGCCAATTTTCCTGATTTTGTAAGGAAACATATTTAAATCATCCCAAATGCATGGGAATTTATCTTATTTTATAATAACATATATCTAAAATGTTTTCCCTTTAGTTACTTCCATTTTACAACACACACACACACCCTTGATATTTGCCTATGTACGCTAAGTAAAATAGTCTCCCTATTTGCCAAGTAGTAGTAAACAGAAGAATTGATTGCTAAGATGGAGCCCTCCATTGCCCACAAGAAAGCTTCTCCATGAGCTTAACATGATCCCGCCCACCTGCTACCCTTATTTAATCTAGAAATAGACACTTCACTGAATCTGAGTCAGTCACAATTTCTCCCAGTGAATGCAGATTTGAGAGTAAGAAATATTATGTTGAGTCATAGCCAAATTGCTTTAATGGCTTTTCTCTTGAGTGAAAGTTAAACTTCTACAGAAACCCTGAAAGATGCTGTGTGACTTGATTTTCCAACTCCTTTTTGTATTATGGTGATAGGTTTTAAACAAGTATCTTTCTAATAAATTCCCTTTTTCTCTTTATGTTACGAAAACATTGTACCGAAATACATTCAAATCAAACAACTGGGTTTCTGGTGTGTTCCATTATTTTGCTCTATGCACACACCACCTACCTTATTCTTACTAAAGTTCCACCTGTTATTAAACAAAAATCAAATGATTTATCCTTCCTGCCTGTAAGGAAGATGGCACATCTCTGTCCTCCAACCCTACAAAAAGTTTCTTCTCTGGGCTAAATGATGATAGTTCCTTTTAAAAAATTAATTATTTACTTACCCCCAAGTTTTCTTTACTATTTACTTTATAAGTTCCATTTTAGTTCAGTCTTGCTAGTCTGTCAATACCAAGAGTTTTAGATGTCTAATATGAGAAAGAAGAAAAAGAGAGAAAGAAAGAGAGAAAGAGAGAAAGAAGGAAGGAAGGAAGGAAGGAAGGAAGGAAGGAAGGAAGGAAGGAAGGTAGGAAGGAAGGAAGGAAGGAAGGAAGAAAGAAAAAGAAAGAAAGAAAGAAAGAAAGAAAGAAAGAAAGAAAGAAAGAAAGAAAGAAAGAAAGAAAGAAAGAAAGGAAGGAGGGAGGGAGGGAGGGAGGGAGGGAGGGAGGAAGAAGGAAGGAAGGAAGGAAGGAAGGAAGGAAGGAAGGAAGGAAGGAAGGAAGGAAGGAAGGAAGGAGAATGGAGGGAGGGAAGGAGGCAGGAAGGGAGGGAGGGAGGGAGGGAGGAAGGAAGGAAGGAAGGAAGGAAGGAAGGAAGGAAGGAAGGAAGGAAGAAAGGAAATATCCACTGTTGGATATAGTGTATATCACTATATCCAATCCCAGTACATCCAAGTGGCATAGCAAATTGTGAAAGGGCTTTCATGAATTCTGTGACATCTCCTACTAGCAAACTTTCCTTTTATTAATTGACTTCAAAAGAACAGCCATTGATAGCTATTAAATACAAAACAAAAAAGCAAATTTAGCTTCCCCCAGAAAAGACAACTTATGAGGAAGTATGTAATTGTAATTGTTGTATTTGGCTGCTTAGATCCCCCTGCAGGACAGAAGAACTTGTGCTCCTGTCTGCGAGGAGTGCTCCTGGAAGATAATGCTCAACTATATGTTCCAGGAAATCTCAGAAAATTGCCCTTAGTTGAAGAGCCCTGCATTGCTCAAGGTCACATCTCCTTCCTGAAGAAACCTACATCCAATGCCTGGTTAATATAAAAGTTTGGACATCCAGCCTCCTCTCAACAACAAAAGGCCACTGAAGGGCCATCTATCTATTAATGGCTCCAGGGCTCTCATATAATTGGTTGAAACCTTGTTGAGACTGCATGCCTGCAAGAGCTTCTCTCACCTCGCAGTCCTATCTCTATCTCTTTCTTCTGTAGGTGCTGACTCTGACTGTACTTCCTAATAAACTCCTAGCATTTTAATCTCTTTCTCAGAATCTGCTTCCACAGAATCCAACCTGCAACAAATACCTAGAAGAAAAAGATTAATTGAGAAAAGCATGGTCAGGCACTGATGACTCAAGACTGTAATCCCCACACTTTGGGAGGCCAAGGCAGGAAGATCACCAGAAGTCAGCAGTTCAAGACCAGCCTGGTCAACATGGTGAAACCCCATCTCCACTAAGAATACAAAAAATCAGCCAGGTGTGGTGGCACATACCTATAATCCCAGCTACTTGTGAGGCTGAGGCAGGAGAATTGCTTGAACCTGGGAGGCAGAGGTTGCAGTGAGCTGAGAAAAGCATATATATATATATATATATATATATATATATATATATATATATATTTTAAGTAAACAAAAATGTAATAATACCTAAATAGTAGCTACTTGATTCTACTAGCTCTTCAATTTATGATGTGCATCATACTAAATATTTTTCCTGTTAACACTAAATGCTTTACATGCTAATACTAAACACCTTAATTCCATTACTTCTGAGCTTTTTGTATGTGCATTATACTGCACGGTTTACTTGCATTATCTAACTTAACCTACATAGCAACCTTATACATAGGCATCATTATTTATCAGTTTTACAGATGAAGACAATTAATGATTAGGAAGTTTAAACAACTTGTTCAAGATCAAATAGCCAGTAAATGGCAGAATCAAGATTAAACCAATTAAGTTTAATTGCAAAACCATTTATTTCACCACTTCTATAGGTACTATCCCAGATCTCAAATCAGAAGCAAAATCTACAATTCTGCTTTTTTCTTTTTTTTTTTTTTTTCTTGGAAAGCAGGCTTTCTCCAATTGCAAGCCCAGAATCTATAATTCTGCTTCTGATTTGAGAAATGAACTTATAACATGGATACTTTCCATGCTACATTCCTTTCTTAAGTTGTTGGCTAAAAGTCCAGAGTTGATTAGAACAATTCTGGTCACACATCTGACCAGTAGCAGAAGATATTTGCTAATAAGTTTTCATATGCTAGTCTATAATTTGGGTTCTGGAGCACTTTGCTTGTTTGGTGAAGACAAGATTTTGCAATGCACAGTTCAATGTGTTGAATTATTAGTGGTCACTCTTCAGAGAGTTCAAGGTTTAGAGATAGAGAATATTATTGGTAGAAGACATATAAATAAATGATTAATGTTGGGAGAATATATTAATCAAGTCAATCACAAGTGAAAAAAGACAAAATTTTCTCCTTAACATTTTCAGATACGATTCAAGCTAATTTTGAAAAGTTCTAAGAAAATTTGCATAAGGTTTGTATGTCTGAGCAATGTAATCAAGATTTAATCAATAAAAATAAGCTTAGACTCAGATCATTTTTCATATTTCTTTGATTTGTCTTTTCTAATTAAAAGATAACTAACTCATAATGTGTACCAATAATATGGAAAGACAGAGTGAACAATATTTCCTTTTCTTTGTCTCAGTGCTTTTGGTTTATTTGAAACAAATATATCTAAACGTTATGGGTTTCCATTTAATATGTAAAAGTTTACTATTATCTAGAGCAAGTACTTGAAAAAATAGAAAAAATATTCTAACTCAAAAAGAGTTAATTAAGCAACATTTATTTTGTTAGATAGTACAATTTCTCAATTGTAGAGTACATTTTATTTGAATAAAGTCAATATACATCTCAACCAAAATAAAAAATAAAATCAGCATGTCAAATTATATTTTTAGAGATACAATCGTACAATATTGCTTAAGCAATAAAATATTGAGGTATGAAGTATTTTCACATTGAGCCATTCCTTTAGAGCACCTGGATAACAGATTTCATGCCTTCTTAAAGAATTTTAGCAATTAGAATAGAAGATACATTTAGTTTCTTTCACTTAGAAGGAAATGATATTTCATTTCAGATTATCAATGTAGAGAAACTGTATTTGCAATATAATCAAATATATCATCTATCAAGCAGAATCATCAAGCTATACAAGCCATGAAATTGGAGTAAATCTGTCTTCTGAAATAGAAAAAGAAATATAGAACTATTCTTATATATTACACATTTATATTGGCACATGTGCAATGTAGAGAAGGTCTTGTTAATTCTGGGCTTTTCTACGTATTTCAGTGTACTTTAATCTTAGTTCACCTTATCAAAAGATCTGAAACTATGGTCACTGAATCTACAGAAATATACTTTGTTAACTATTTTTATTCAACTGAAATGCATAGAAATTAGGTTGCCTTGGATATGCAATCTAGGTCAATACACTGGAATAAGTTTTGTACTTGAAGCATTCTAGCAATCTATGAATGGAAGCGTTTCTCTAGATATCTAATTGACATATACACAAAGTTTGGGGCAACCCAAGATTTTTTTAAAATAGGATTCATTATGTTAATCAAATAGAGGAAGAGGTTAAACAAGTCCCCTAAAAATTCATAGCTAACCAACATCATGATGAAGGTTCAAACCTCATGTACTTTCCAAAAGAAGATATTTGTGTTTGAGAAGATGTTTTTACTTTGTGTTAAGAGTTATTTTTGATTGTAAGAAAATTCAGATTATAGAAGGGAGGTACAAGTGTATTGAATTTTTCTGAGAATGTGACAATTTTATTTGAAAATTTATGGCATTCTGCTTGGCATAGAAAATCATTTGGTTTCTGCTCTATTTCCAGGTGCCCTTCAACTAAAAAAAAAAAAAAAAAAAAAAAAAAACAAGAACCTAGAGATGTGGAAGTAAGGTATAGACAAAAGATGAAGATGACTTCCACAATTTAAAGGGATTTGTTAGTGGGATAATCTTAGTAGGCCAGGTAAACACATGCTGTAATGGATTGGAAATGTCCACTAAATCAATGAAAGCCATTGAACAAAATATTATATAGCTAATGTATTGATTTCTTTTGTGTAATAATTATAAGGTGCCTTATATGCACTATCACATTTAAAACACTGATAACATTTTTAGGAGGTGTTTACTGTCCTACTATTATCATTATAGATGAGGTAAATTACACTAACAGGGATTAAATGTAACGGGACACAAAATAGGTAAACATTTACATTGCCCTCTTCTGCTTTCTAAGGAGGATGGTTTCCCTGCTTCTTTAATATATCTCACAAAGTGCTTGACTCAGCTTTGCTCTGCTGAGCGCTAAGGTGAAGTCTGAGGAAGAGAATTTGGGAAGCCAAAAGAAGGATAAGTTGCTTTACATGAGACAGAGAAACACAGATGAGTGGGAAAGAGGGAATGCAGAGGGTTGGAAAGAACAGTGTTGCAACCCTTTGAAAAAGAGATACAGTGAGGGAAACTGAAAGAGGTGTGAGAATATCCATCCAGGTGTGAGTAACAATAAAGGGTGGAAGTTTTGACAAAAAGGTAGTCATAGTCCAACAGGATTTTTAGGATGTTTTGTGATATAATATATCTAGCAGTGTCTCCCAAATATTACAGGAAAGGGCTGTCATTTTCTTCAAAACTTTGTTGTAAGTTGGGATTATCATTTATACATTGACTTGGTGAGATTTTCTTTAAAGAGAATTCAGTAGTCTCAAAAGGTAAATTCACTGTCAATTTTATCAGCAAATTGTCCAAATTCACACAACTAGTAAGTGGTAAAGCTAGAATTCCATCCCATCTATCTAACTTCCAGCCTCTACCATTAATCACCTCCTTATATTGCTTTTGTCTCCCAAGCACTTCTCTTTCCTCTGGAGAAAAATGTCTGCTTTCTTTAAAGTAAAAGCTCTGTCCATGCAGCTAAGCAGCTAAGGACATGAACAGTCACTGATACAGGCCAACTCATCAGCAGATTGTTGAGGTATTGAAATATATTGAATTATTACTTTATTATTTATTTATTTTTAGAGACAGGATCTTGCTCTGTCACCCAGGCTGGAGTGCAGGGGTCTAATCATGGCAAACTGCAGCTTCGTCCTCCTGGGCTCAAGCAATCCTGCCTTAGCCTCCCAAGTAGCTGGGACTACAGGCACATGCAACCGCACCTGGCTTTTTTTTTTTTTTTTTTTTTTTTTTTTTAGATGGGGGTCTCCTTATGTTGCCCAGGCTGATCTTGAACTGCTGGCCTCAAGCAATCCTCTCACCTGGCCTCCGATAGCCTTGGTATTACGGGCATAACCCACCATGCCTGGCTTTAGTCATTAAATTATATGCTACTTAAAACATCACTTCTTGTGGCATTGCTACATCCAACCAGTTATTTAAAATTACAGATTTTAAATTCCAGTCTTATTCGCTGGGACAAGACTTTTGGTATAGAAGATGGGGATTCCTCCCTCTGCCCCCAAGGGAAAAAAATTTCAAATCTGGGTAAACAAAATATATAATAAAAAGTAACTACACTTTCTAGATGAAAATGGATAGATGTCAAATGAATAAATGTTGAAAATCTATACCAGCGGAGGCAAAGGTACTTTAGAAAACCATTCGAGAATCAATATACATGAGCACAGTTTTAAAGAATAATCAGGATTTTTCCATATGAAAGGGTAGTTGTACAATATTAGAGGGATAGAGACAAATATATAAAGAGAAAGACACTTGTAAAAATTGCAACATTTTTGAAGACTAATGATAAACTCAATTTTCTTTCTCTGTTGATAAACTCCATTATATTTGAACTGTAGGTTTTAGCTAAGGTTATTTTACTTAGCTTTCTTGTTTCATTAGAAATGTTGCTAACATTTGGAATAACTGTGGCTACTTATTCAAAGAATTTGTGTCCACCAGGATATATGGAGCTTCAGCTAAATCCAAAATGCTAAAGCATATTTCTTTTCATTCATTTTTAATCAAATAAAATAACTAATAAATAAATAAATAATCTTAGGTAAGGATTACTAGTAATTTAACAATTTTATGAAACTTTTTCTGAAGTTTTAACATTTCCAACATTTTGCTATCTTGCATTCAACCTATGACTCAAACGAAGATTTGCTTCATCAAAAATGTGTTTAATGCTCTTTATGTGAGTGCAAACCTGAGTTCTGAAGTTATATCAGCATTCTCAGACCATATTTTCTCTTGATTGTTCTGCCTAGGTTTGCTAGAGTATTAAGTTTCTCAAACTAAAAGAATTTGACATGTTTTCTTCTAAAATCAATTTTCTTTAGAAATAAGTCCCTTGAAGTTCCTATTAGTAACAATGATTCTTTCTATGTTAGTCTGTGCATGCCTGCCCTAACAGTGAGGGAATACATTGTTTAGTGCACCAAAATAGCTGTTTATGATCATGCTGTATGTTCATATTTAACAGCTCTTCTCAATCCATTTAGCTATTTCTACATATATTTCAAAAAGACATTTATGCTTTCCATAAAATATTTTGAACTTTCTTCTTTCAAAAATACATAGTGCAACACTAGAAATATATAATATTCCCCCACCTAATGTCAAATGGTTTCTAGTAAATTTCCTTGAAAAGGCAGATATCCAATAAATTTGTGTGATTTATTACTCTTTTCAGTTGAACAGTGTTTGTAATAACTAATCTCTATAGTTCTTTGAGAGCAAAAGGGAAAATTGTGCCTCTATGATTTTCTTAGGGATGACTCTCTTCAGTCAGATCACGATTTGAGTTTGAACCAACCAGAGAGTAGCAGAAGGAACGTTTTCTCATTTCCATGTCCAGAAAGATACATTCCTGTTACCCTCCTGAAGTCAGAGGATGAAATCATAGTCAATGCATCTTTGCAGATAAACTATTAGGTACATTTTTCTTTGTCTATAGAAATTAGTGGAACACAGGAAACTACAGCTTGCTATCCCTTCAATCCCTTGGGGAAAAAATGTTGGGTAGAGGGTGTTCTTGCATATATGTGTGTTTCAAACTTCATTTGGGTCCATTTGTTTTTTGCTACCACCAGTATAATAAGTAGCATTTGTATAAATCAAAATCATATGAGGCTGTAAGTTTATCAGGGATAAGAAGCTTTCAGTCTTTGGAAAATCCATCACAGTGTTCTCAGTGAATAATCAAACTGCATAGCTAAGGAGCTTAGATATACTGAAATGTAGCCCACTTTCAAGAGAAGGAAGGGAAACTAAGCTCTACTTCCTGAAGAAAAAAAAAAAAGAGTATCTGTCTATATTATGTGGGATTTTTCTCCGAAGATTTGTTTCTACTCTCTTATTGATTTAATATTTTATTTATATCAGTATGGATTCATGAATATTAATTTTTTTATTATAATTTAATACTATGCTATTTGTTCATTGTGTATTCTGTTGCTAAATTGTTCTACCATGTCCTTATGGGAGCTCTCTCAGGTTGGAGCCTTGTGTCCATTTGACATGCCCTCATCCTTTTATTCCTAGAACACTTTCTTACTTTCTGTTACTACAAAATGCTCCAGACTCATTGTTCAATTTTCCCACCACAGACCCAGGATTGACTTCACTTTTAATTTCTGAAAATAATTTAGTAGACATCTAGGCTCCATCTCCTCAAGAAGCTGTGGACTCCTAATATCTTGAGGTCACCAAGAGAATTTTTGCAAGTTTTTGTCTCACTGAATCTTAAGTCACACCATATATGCACCATTCTAAGCCTGACTCAAAGTTCTCATAGCTGTAATGTCATTTTATTATATTTAATTTCCTCCCAATTCAAATGTCTGCTTTCTCATGAGAACCTTTTCTATCTGTCAGGATCTTAGAATGAAACATGTTATCATGCTCAATCTTGTCATTTGAAGAGATTTTGATAGTGGGAATAGCTTGCTATCCCCTCAACCCCTTGGAATGGGTAGAGGGTGTTAACACATATACACAAAAACACCCTCTACCCATACAGGGTTTAGTAAGGTATAATGCAATGCTCTAGACCTAGTAAAAATAGGAAGCTATTATTCTAAGCCTTTAACACCACTGGAGAGAGTGGTTACCAAAACCTGGAGAAAATAGCTGTATGTGGAAAGGTTCTAAAGAAGAATGCAGCAAGCTCAATAAAGTCAACCCATTCTTTTGACCACTGTCTCCTTCCACTTTCAGATTTCCGACTAGAACCTTTCATTGGCTGAACAAAGACAAAGACAGAATTCAAGGAAGGTCATAGAAGTAGTCAGCTTTTTGGTACCCAAAGTTGTTGGAGAAGGGTACAGAGTGGGTAAATAAGTCAAATGAAAGGCAGTATTTTCTTATTTTAATAATAAGTTTAAAAATCCCACTTCTTGTACTTACCTTCTGTCTGATGTCATCAGTATTTTCAGATGCCAACTGGGATCAAGTTCAACACTGCATTACTGAAGAATCCAGGTTATCTATATTTCATGTGCCAAATGAAAGAAAGAATCCTGAAAATAAAACAATATGATGATAATAGTAACATTTTTTAAAATAAAATTTATGGTCTAAACCCTGATCATTAATGGTTATTTCATGTTGAAGCCATGAGGCCTGTTCTTCATTCTGAACATAGGGAAAAGGTGAAATCTTTTCATGTATTTATTTATTTAGCCAATTTATACATATAGTGAATTTTAATTAGAATTTAATAGTATGCCTTCTTATTATGCATATTATTGGGGCTATCTGAATTTTCTTTGGAATCGTGCCTCCAATTTGCCATGCCCTTTTAGGCAACTCTATTTTAATTACTAGTTGAATATGATGGGTACATTTTATTGTTCTCTCTTTTGATTATTGGAAAAAAAGAGGGAGAACTTAACTTCTCAGATTGCTGAGAAAAATAGAACTCATGAAAACACACACACACTTACACACATGTCTTGAATATTTTTGCAAAGATACTGGAAAGGAGAAAAGTTATGTTTCCTTCTTTCATGAGTATCACAAATTTCAGTAAGAGAGAAAATCTGAGCATTTCCCAAGGTAATCTCTCTGTCAGCCATCATATTATTACTTCCTAAAATCTTTGCCATCCCACTCTATTTTCCACCTTCTCATTCTTAAGATTTCCAAAGCTTCACCAAATCCTCATTCTCTGTTGATGGCCTACCCCCATGGTTCACTGAGAAAACAAACACTATTTTGCTAATTTATCTGGGAGGATAAAAATTACAAAATAATATGCCACCATACTGGACTGGAATCATAGTTTTGTTTACCTGTGTACTTAATTTTAAAGATAGAAGATAGTGGAACATAATTGTTTGCTAAAGATCACACTTGAATAGAAAAGAGATGATAAAAGAAGAAAGTTGATTCTATCAAGATTAGTTTTTAAAAGAATGATAAACATTCCATCCACTGCAATAGTTAAAAACCATAAAGAGTGTGCAGATGTAGACTAATGTAGTTTTACATATTTAGGGTTTTACATTAATGATTTACCCCCTAATGACCTCTAGGTGACCACAGTCAATGGTTACATCTGTATTATTATCTTATTCAACTTGAAGCGTCTTTGACCAACTTGGTTTCTCCCAACTTCTTTATTCTTCTTTACTTGTGTTCTTTATGTGCCTTTCCTTATACCAGTCTTCTGATCAGCGAGGATATTTAGAAAGAGTGGAAAAGTGAGGGAACGGACAAGAGATCCAGTTTCCCTACCCACTCTATCTATATTAGGTATTCATGCCCTAAATTAACAGTATTATTTCTTCACAGAGCATTTTATTTCTCCCATAATTTTTCAAGTTTGCATTTGTTTGTTTATTAGTTATTGTCCGTGTCTTCAACTAAATTTTATCAAGAGGGTCCAAGAAGAGTGTTCAAAGCTATATTCAAGTATACAATACAATGGCTGGCAATAGTGGATGCTCAACCAATAATTCTAAACTACACTAATGAATGTAACATGGTTCTTGCCAAGGAATGAAAATAAACAAGAAGAAATGGATGGGTAGAACAGGAGCAGGTATAGTAAGCTAAACTTGAAAAAACAGTTAAATTACAAGTTAAACATGAAAAAAAAACAGTTAAATCCATGATACTAAGAGGGGGTCAGACAAGTCTCATTAAACTCTCCTCTCTTTGGAATTCAGACACAACTAACCACATTAACATTAAAACAGATATCTTAAAACAAACAAAACAAACTCTTTGTAGCAATAAGATATCAAATTCCAACCTGCCTCCAGTATAACATCATATGGCAGAGACCAAGCCCTGAAAGAAATTGAAGTATTTTACCCCAACATATATTTCATGACATATTTTGATATGGCCTCACAAAGCTGTCTCTTGTAGGGAAAATCTACATTCTGTAGAATAATCAGATTTGTTTTCCTGGTCTTTTCCTTATCCAGGAGAGATTTAACTAAGAGTGTGGCACCTTTCAGAGTCTGATAAGAAGCATTTATCGTTTATTCTATCTGATGCCTGCTACCTGGGGGCTTCATCTACACAACAAGAACCTTGGCTTCCACAAGCCCCCTTATCTTAAGAACAAACATTTCTTTCTGCTAACTTTACTCCTTCAGGTGGAGTTTAACCCTTTCAACCAATTACAATTCAGGAAAACTTTAAATCCATCTATAAGGTGGAAGCCCCCCACATCACTACTTTGAGATGTCCTGCCTTTATGGAATGAACCAATGTATATCTTATATATATTTATTTATGTCTCTGCCTGTAACTTCTGTCCCCCTAAAATGTTTAAAACAAAAATGTAACCCAACCACCTTGGGCACATGTTCTCAAGGTCTCCTGGGGATATATCATGAGTCATGGTTCTTACATTTATCTCAGAATAAATCTCTTCAAATATTTTACAGAATGTGACTCTTTTGTTGACATAATTTACATTCCCTGAAGGTCTAAAATTGTCACCACATAGGAACTCTTTCATTTAGCTTATATAAATCAGGCAAAGTCTTGAAATCATAACCAGGTGAAAACTATACAATTGCATTGCTCTACATTTGTTAGCCAATACTGATTCTGCCTCTTTTGTTTTTTTCCTTTTACCATTTTGCCCTTTCTCACATTCTACCCTGGTTCTGTACTCAATTACTCATTCTTGGACATTCATAAGAACTCATTCTTTCTACATTTTTCATCTGATATTGTTACGGTGGGTAGGTTTTCAGACATGGGCAGAGCAGGAAAGGGATCCCCAGCCCCCAACCAGAAATGTCAGGTGACCACCAGGTGATGATCAGGTGGTTGTTACATTGTTTCTCAAAATAATAATCAGTCACAGCCAGCGCCAGGGAGAGGCAATCTCCCAAGAGATAGAATAAAACTGAAACTAGTAATCAGCAGTTTCCCAATAAGACTTCAGGAATTAGGCAAGTAGGGTCAAGCACGAACATTAAAAAGGCAAAATGGCAGACTGGTATATGGCCTTCTAGGGATATTCAACTGTTAAGGGAAGAATGCCTCAAGTGAGCACGCATACAACACCAATAAACACACTGTGCATGTTTGCATGCTCTCCTCCCAGGTGCTAGCAGGCCTCTGTGCATGTGGACAGCTCACCCCAAGAGAAGAATCAGGGAAGAAGGGACACAAGGCTCAGAAGTATGCCAACTTCTAAAATCCTAAGTTAAAGATCATACTATCACTTGATATCTTAAGTCACCTGTTTGGCCCTCTTCCAAGTATACTTTGTTTTCTTTAATTCTGGCATTACAGTTTGTAACAAACTTTCACTTCTGCTCAAAAACTTGCCTTGGTCTCTCCTGCCTTGTGCCCCTCTGCCAAATTCTTTCTTCTGAGAAGGCAAGAACTGAGGTTGCTTGTAGCTCCATATGAATTCACCAGCAGTAACATACTTTGGTGCTGCATGACTCATATATGTTCCACTGCTAACATACTTTGGTCCACATGACTCTGATACATTCCCTAAGTGGTAAGACACCTCCACATCTCACCTTCTTTTTTCCAGGGGTATTAAACCCCTCTATGTGGTTTTCTTCTCACCTTTCACTCTCCTGCTTACTAACCATCAGAAAGATTCATCTTGGCCAAAAGTGGCTCTGTTCACTCAGGCTGATCTTTCAGCTCACCGTGACAGGTGGCTCATGGGGGGTAGAAAGGACCTTGGGGTCTGCACCTAGTAGAACTGAGATATTTAATGGCCCTCCTGACAGAAGACTCATGAGAGTGGTAGGACTGAAGCCTAACACCCTGCAATATCTGGGGTTTCTTCTGCTTTTCCAACTAAAATCAGCTTTCTCAAGAACTTGCACTACCTATTATTCTGTTTTTCTCTGTATGTGTTCTGAAATGGCCTCGCATACCTGCCAAATTGTCTGCCTCAGGGGCAAGTCTGCCTCTTCTCTGGCTGCACTTTGCATTCCACATGACTTCTTAAACATATACTCCTTAAACATACACTCCCTGTTATTCAGGCTCTTGCTGCATTTGCTTGGCTGCAAAGACATGGGCTGTCTCGTTGCTACCCTCTGAGATTTATACTTGCTTTTACCTTACCAGCTTAGATACCTCTAACCCTCCCCCTGTCTGCTGGCATATTTCCAGGACAGACACTATCTGGGATCCTGACTTTGCCAGCTCTTTATGACTTACTTACACTTTTTTTTTTCCCTTGTGGTGCTCTAGGGTTAAGATTTTCATAGGCTTACTGCCTGCATAATGCCTCACTCTGTGACCCTTTGTGGACATCAGCTGCTTGCTTTTTTTTTTTTTTTTTTTTTGAGTTAATACCACTTTTGGAGGAGGGGAAATTCTCTTTGCCATTTGCAATTTTTTTATCCCCATTTCCTCCAGAGGTTACTACTGTATGTCAAGAGTGCAAAGGAATGATCACTTAAATCCCAGGGCTGCTGTTTTTGCGATCATATGAAGGGATTACATGAATATTCCTCTAGCTTCCTCCTACTTCCTCCTGTAGCCTGCATTTCTCTGATCAGTTCCACACCTTCTCAACATGCATCAACACCTTCAACGTCATATTTGAAAGGTGGGAAGTCCAAACCTATTGTGGCAGTTAGCTGAAAAACAGGCTTCTCATCTACTACTACTTTTCGTCTTTAAAGAACACGGGAAATGGGAATCTAAGAAAAGAGATAATCAATTTGTGGCTAAAATGCTCTGAGCAAGAGTCACTATAAGGTCCTGGAGAAAAGGACATAGGCCAACCCAAAGCTGCAGGTGCAGGAGATACATAGGACAGCGAAGATGGCTGGTCTTAGATTAACATATTACCATTATAACAGAGATGAATGCAAGGTTAAGGGTACATGCTAAGACTGGTTCATTCCAGCACCCCAAGGATGAACAGGGGCTCACTGTTCACTCTGTTATCTCCTCTGATCCCAAGTAGGTAATTGTGATAAGGTGAGACCAAGGTTAACGGTACATGGCAAAACTGGTTAATTCCAGAACACTAGGGACAAATGGGGAATGCCCTATTCAG